GGAAAGTATGGTGTCTCAGCAGCACAGCTCACTCTCTTCTCCACTTCCCAGCAGTTATTCAGACGTTCAGCTCACCCTGATACAGCAGCTTAATTTAGCTTCAGAGTTTCAGATCTGCACTCCTTATGATAAGAAACATACATATTTGATGTTGCCAGTATTCCATTGCATGGTGGCTAAAAATAGAACCTGGGTACCTGGCAACAGTTGCATCATTAGTCTCATTTTGCTCAGCACTTGTCTCGACGTGGCTGCTTCATCGGGAGATTGACTCTTTAAATTCGTTTTTTCTCTTTTGTCTCATTGATTATTATTTGCTCAGGGCCAGAACCCAAGTGACGCACGACCCTTTTTGTTATGATGTAGATTTTGAGTTTGTGGGGCACCATAGACAGGTCCTTAATCAGAAACTAAGTAAAGCTGACCTTAGACAGCTCGTAAACATTTAGATTTGGTCTAGACATACAGGTGCAATCTGACCACCCTCAAAGCAGCTAACATGAGTAGGTAGCCTTATGATGGCACAAGGTCAGCCCTGCTTACCTAGCAAGTTTATGTTGGCAAGAAGAGGAAGGAGAAGACAAGCGACCGGGACAGAGTCATTGTTACCAAGAACAACCCTTAACCAGGTGACATCTGACATCAGCCACAAACAAGATATCACCACCCAGATCAGGTTGGAATGGCTTCATTGAGTGACTATCCCCTCATGACTATGGGCTGTTCAAGATAGGACTGGCTCACATGGTGTTGAGAACTTGGCGCAATGGTTGGCTGATCATAGACGATACCTGTATGTGATCATGAGGACCCTTCATTTCTGGGAGCACTCATTATTCCTTCCTCGCACAGCCAGACATATCAGGTGATGCTTGAATGTGTTGCATCGCTTGCATTTATCAGGCTGCATTTATGACCCTAAGACCCCTTATCTTTATCTTTTAGATCCGCCTGACTCTGTACATGTGGAGGTGAGGAGATTAGACAATGGGACTTTCCAGTTTATCTGTGTAGAAGACTCCAGTCCACCAGCCACAAACTTCAAATGGAGAAGGTGGGGAAACCAACTATGAATCTGGTAGTTGCATTTTTGTTATAGTGTTGTTTTGAAAGACTTTAAGTAGAACTGTGGCCAGGCTGTGGACTTTAGAAGATTTACATATTTATAACAAGCAGTAAATCAGCTTTAAAGCCAAAGTCAGGTCTCAGGAGCCGCCATTTTGCCCTATCCTCCCATTGGAGTACACCACACCCTGACTCTTTGAAACCAAATGTATGCAACCTTTTCTTGTCCACTGGGGGACACAGGAAGTCTTAAACCTTTAGGTCATACAGCTGCCTACAGGAGGATAGGACACTGGCAAACGAAGAAACTGTAAACCAGCCCAGGGTATAACACACCCCCTCCCCCACTACCAGCATGCCTCAGTTCTTTTTCTAGTGTGCTAGGAGGCTGGACATCGTCTCTTCATCTCTGCTGTTTTAAAGACTAATCTGTGATATTTTTGTTTTTATTTCTTTCAATTTTTTTCTTCAATCAAGACTCTTCTTTACACAACTGCTGAAGGTTTCCCCTCAGGTTTGCAGCAGTCCAACACGTTTGTCCTCCAGCCTAGCTTTTCAACCATGCAGCATCCAGACCCCGCTGGACTGGATGTTTTGGGGTGAGTCCGGAGATGACCTTCAGGCACTGGGTGCTGTGTGAAGCACTTTCCAGACTCCGTTCTGGTTAAATTAACTGCAGCCATTTCCTCTGCGCTTACCCTGTCAATGAAGACTAATTGTGAGAAGGCCATTTGGGCCAGGCTCCGGATGCTTCCTCGTTTTCATTGGTTGCTGATCTCCATTATTACCCATATCTTTCCAGCTTTTACCATCAAAGGGGTTAGTGTTGTGGGACAAAGTGTAATGACGCCCCATACGCCTTGTCATTGGGGAGCCTAAGCAGCTACATTTCCAATGAAAGATCATCTCAATTTCCAGGTTGCAACATTGGTGATTGGTGGACTAAGATCTCCATTATAAATCAGGTTATGGGCTCAGTATTTTGTGAAGGCCAAACTTATACTGGCCGTGAGGAGGTTAGTTTTCCCCAGTTGGAGAAATCAAGCAATATGTGTTGGACTCCTACTGGATGGATCCTGCTTGCCATGGAGACGACTGAAAGTGACACAAAACTCCGGAGTTAAATGTTAAAAATACATTCAAGAACCTTAACTATTAACAGAAATGTATCTTATTTGTGTATCACTCAGCTGTAGATCCTCCAATCATCTCTGAATTGGTGCCGACACTGTCCTTCCTTCTGGAGGGGGTCTACTTTTGTTCCCCATGGTCCCTGTGTGTGTTTTAAAGTAGTCAACGCTCCAAGCTCCCTCCTGTGATGGAATACAATCTCATGTTTAGTTTACTAATTTGTATTGAGATTGTAGTCTATCACGGGTGTGAGCTTGGAGCGGTGACTACTTTACAACACACACAAACCACGGGGAACAAAGGTAGCCCCCCTCCAGAAGGAAGGACAGTGTCAGCACCAATTCAGAGATGATTGGAGGATCTACAGCCGAGTGATACACAAATAAGATACATTTCTGTTAATAGTTGACTGTATTTTTATCATTTAACTCCGGAGTTTTGTGTCACTTTAAGGTTAGTACATTGAAACTTTTTGTTCTTGACCTCACAGTAATCTGCCTCCATGATTTCAGTGTTGGCAGAACGTTTTGAGGGAAGATGAATGCAGTACAGAGGTTTCAGTTTTTTCAAATTTGCTAATTGCAAGGCTCAAATACTGTCTCTTGAGGATGAAGATGTCGTCAATAGTGTGTACTCGCCCTCTTTATCTGACACGGTGCTTACAAAATGTTTGAACTGCTGGCTCTGAAAGAGGAACCTAATGGCAGGGGAGAGTGGGGTAGATGTGTGCAAGTGGTGTTAGGGGGTTAGCCTTCAAGAGAACCTGCCACTCGTATGATTGCCCTGGATTGACAAAATTACAGGGTATGTTTTAACACAAAATTTTGAGCCTAAATATTCTGTAGGTGGCAGTTGAGCTCTGGGATTATGGTTGTACAGGATTGATTAGCGCCAACAGTTTGTTACATAGTTACATAGTATTTTTGAGGTTGAATAAAGACATATGTCCATCAAGCTTGTGCACCACTTTACAATAGAAGGAAGACATTACAGTTACTATTCAAGACAAGATGGTTAGGAGAGCCCTGTCCATGAGTGCTTACAATCTAAAAGGGAGGGATGACCTTCCTTGCCAATGAAAGTGTTGTAACTATGTAAAAAAAAAAAAGGTGGGGGGCACATGAAGCTTAGACTGAGAGAGGCAAACTAAGGAAATCTGGCACTATTGGATTTGTTTATGTCATTCTAGTACTTGGGAGCTCAAAGACACAGCAGAGTGATGACCTCTTCAGTGTAGTGGCACCCATTCATTGTCCAGTCAGCAGGCTTGGGCAGCTCGGTGACCAAGTTTTATTGATTAACCACCATAAAGAAAAGTTAGGTCACCGTCCCAGCTGTGCCTTCTGGCAGGGGTGTGTAGATCAGAGTAATAGGGATGTGCAAGTAAAGAAAAATTGCCATTATGGTATGTGCATGGATTTCACTTGGTTACACGACTGTCTAGCATTTTAGTATGAATTGGTAGCAGCTACATTACAATACAGGTTTGTATCATGAATGTAACAATACACTATTTTATATGGAAATTCCATTAACAAGGAACTTAAATGAATAATCGGATTGTGTTACTGTAAATGTCCCCAGACAATTGACTCATAGTTTCTTTCCCTCTAATTGAAATGGAGTAATATTGTTGGTACTATTTGTTTGTTCTCTTGCAGGAAGGATACGTTTGACTCCAATGCAACGGTGGAGCTGGGAAATGAAAAAACTTTGTCCAGTGAAGACCTTCTAAGCGGAATTTATTTCTGTGAGGTCACTAATCCAGTTGGAAGATCATCGGGATATCTTTATGTATACCAAGGCCCAGGTAATTCTTCACTTTTATTCTACAATTGTGTAAATGGGGAGACCCCAGCAAGCAAATGCCAAAAGAGCAAAACCACCCGTGACCTGGGCTGAAGATTTCCACCTGGCGGGTCAGAGGAAAAGAGACGCAAGGAAATTATGTACACTGCTCCCACCCGTCCACTCCAGAGGGTTCCCCTTTAAAAAACAAGTTAAAGTGTATGTAAACCCGAAACAATGGACTTCATATACTTGATTCCTTTGGCTGTTAAATGGCTGTGAAAGAAGAACTCCGGGTAATTTTTGAATTAACCCTTGCAGTAGGATTACCCCCGCACTGCAAGGCTTAACTGCTCGTTTGGTCTAGGGCTGAAAATAACCGTTCTACACGTCCGATCCTCTGAGCCGGCTTACTCTTAGGGCCCTGTCACACCATAAAGAGTGCGTTCCAGTGCGTTCGGGCACCTGGAACGCAACCGGGCCGGCTCACTTTGTTTTGGGGCGGGAGGGGGCATGGCGGTACATTATTATTATTATACAGGGTTTATAAGCACCAACAGCTTGCGCAATATAAGGAAGACATTACAATCACCATACAATTCAACACAAGATGGTAAGGAGGGCCCAGCACATGAGGGCTTACAATCTAGAATTGAATTCAATGGCACCGCAGTTACGCCCGCGGTGTGATCGCCGGCACCCGAACGCGTGGCAGGTTAGCGCCTGCGTTCCGGGGGCCAGTGCGATCTGCAAAAAATGCTGCATGGACTAGTTTTTGCAGATTGCACTGAACCGGAAACGCAGGCACTAATGTGCCAACTCGTTCGGGTGCCGTTGATCACAACGTGGCTGGGGGGCGGGGCTGGCGAGGAACACACTCATGATGGTGTGATAGGGACCTCAGACTGGTCCCTGGAGCATCTCTCACCCCTTCGCTGCAGAGCTCTAAGGTTATGTAAGTCATCATGTTCTATACCCTGTGCATAGGACGTGAGGGCTCAGAGGATCTGGTGAGTATAACTTTTTTCAGCCCTATAGCAAAACAAGCACTTAACCCTTGCAGTACGGAAAAAAACCCGGAGCTCTTCTTAAAATATACATTTAAAAGCATTTGGTTACATCTGTTCGATAAGTGCAAGAAAAAAAAATCCATTCTGATCCTGACAACGATCCTGTGGCTACCTGGGTTTTCTGCCTGTGCTGCACTGTTATCAGTGTTTTCAGGCCACAGAACACCTCCTCCTGTATTATGAAGATGCAGAGATGTTCTATAGTCCTAACATACATGCTGTACTAAGGTGACAATGCTGCTCCTCCACAAATACAATAATTGAGTGATTGTTGTCACCCTAGGAGAGGAAGCGTGTAATTGGCAGGGTCACCAGGTGAAAACTATAGCCTGATAAAAATAAAAAGAATGCGGCCACCATCTCTAAGCACTGGTGAGCGGAAATATATAACATTTTTGTTCTTGGGTTTAAATACACTTTAATAATAATGGAAGCTTCCATATTTCTATGCTCACATGAACACTATCAGGGAGTTAAGCAGGCCTTCCTGTGTCTGGGTGATACTTTGCTATAGATAACAATGCCAAATTTGGATACCGGCTCTTGGGAAATGAGTTGAACCGATAGGTATGGGATGTATGGACATGAGCCAAGTGCATGGTGTCATTTTTTCCTTTAGTGAAGTGAGACCTGAGATAATGGATTATGTTGCCATGTTAGTAAAGAATAGCAAACGGGGGGGAGACATATAGTGTTGGTGGAATAGGGAATTTTGCAAAAGCAGAGAGGCTATTGCTATGTACCAGAGAGGCTATTGCCTTTGATAATGTGGGGATGTGAGGTATGCTGCTATAGAAGGTAATGCAAAGTCTGGGGGCAGGCGCAGGGCTGGTGCTAGGATTTTTGCCTAGACAGCCAAAGTTGCATTTTTGCTCCTCCTCCCTCCCCTCCCTCCCAACCCCCTCCCCTCCCCGACCCCCTGTAGCGCTGGGCCTGCTCTCTATCAGCATGACGGGCCTGGGCAGGTGCAATAAAGGGGGGAAGAGATTTAGTGCTTTGCACACTGCCTGCTGAGGGGGGAACAATGTGTGGTGGATGCTGATAACAGGGCACCCACTGATTGTGGGTGCCGGAGACATGTCAACGGTGCAGCACAAAACTCCAGAAGAGGCCTCCAGACATTTGCATTTCTTCTTCATTCATTCCTGGTGGCAGATTCCTCAAGCAGCAGGGCTGGTGCAAGGATTTTTGCCTATACAGGTGAAGGTGCATTTTTGCGTCCCCCCCAGCGCTTTTAGACAGCTGCCTATGCACCGCACTTGTAGTCCATTAACTCTGCCTGCTGTCCATATTACTACATGTCTGTACCTTGGTACGGGCATGGATGGGAGTAGGGATGCACCGATACCAATTTTTCTAGGCTTAGTTTGAGTACTGATACTTTTCTTCAAGTACTGGTCGATACCAATTACCGATACCTTTTTTTTAGTGTCGTGTGACTGTTTTTCTGAAACGATACAGACCAATGATTTCAGGACGGTCGTGGAGAACCGGAGCCCGGTCGCAGCTGCAACCGCTGAGACCCCGGTAGTCACTTAAGAATAATACCATCAGCTATAGAGGACTACAAATCCCAGCAATACATTATACAGCAATGCAAAATACCATCAGCTATAGAGGACTACAAATCCCAGCAAAACATTATATAGCAATGCAGAATACCATCAGCTATAGAGGACTACAAATCCCAGCAAAACATTATATAGCAATGCAGAATACCATCAGCTATAGAGGACTACAAATCCCAGCAAAACATTTTATAGCAATGCAGAATGGCATGAGCTATAGAGGACTACAAATCCCAGCAGTACATTACACAACAATGCAGAATACCACCAGCTATTGATGACTATAAATTCCAGCAATACAGTATACAGCAATACAGAATAGTATATGAATTTGCTACATACTCTGTGCTACCGATCTGCTCCAGGGTGCCGGCCTGATGTCTTGGGCTGGAGGTCTCGGCAGGGGCGCATGTGGAAAGTAGCAGCAGGCAGGGGTAGATGTGACAGATCAGTGGAAAGTATAGAGCAGCAGTTAGGGCTTGTTCACACCAGCTCTAGTGCGTTCCAGCACGATTTAGCTGCTGGAACGCACTATCGCATCCTGGCTGGCTCCCTGCATTCTGGGGCAGGAGAAGGCGTGGTGGGCATTCAAGTCAGTGGCACCGCAGTTACGCTGCAGGTGAGCACATCATTGCCTGTGTTCCGGGCCAATGTGATTGGAAAAAATGCTGCATGCAATATATTATGTGATCGCACTGGACCGGAATGCATTTATGTGCCACGCGTTCTGGTGCGGGCGATCACACTCCCGCTCCAGAATGCAGGGAGCCGTCCAGGATGCGATCCGGCAGCTAATCGTGGTGGAACGCACTGGAAGTGGTATGAACAAACCCATACACACACATATTCACTCTCCCTCCTTCTCCTGTACCTGCAGCTCGAAGCAGGAGACTGTTCAGAGACATGATAAACTATCCTCTGACTACACACAGCGGCGGGGAGAAGGGACATGACAGGGCTCACAGATAACACAGTGCCCCCTAAAACTCACAGAACAGGGGGCGGGAGCAGACCTGATATTACAGGGAGCCATCACCTGCATCTAGCTCTCTGAGGCTGGGTGATACCATTTTTCTACCCCCCTTCATGGGGGCCCTTTTCAGCTGCCATTGCGCTATGCTGAGCTTCTGGTCTGACATTGCATTCCAGGGTGGGCTGCATCCAGGACTGCACCCAAAATTTAGAAGAGAGCAGAAGTGTTCCTCTTTCCTGACCTGCTCCGCTCCCACCCTTAGTCATGCTGCCGCAACAGAGCTATAGTAATGATTGCAAGGTAGAACTAATGTGAAGAGGGGCTTCGGGTGTTAAAAGGGGGGACTCTGATGTGAAGGGGGCTCCTGACATATTTTACACTGTGAAGTCTTCAGATTCTGCATACTTTTTCAGAGTGCCAGGAAAGATATAAAAAGTTGAGAAAAAGGTTGAGAAACAATGCTGTAGAAGAGGGTACAGTACAGTGTGGGTGCTGGAGGTAGAGAGAAGCGGCACAGTACATGGTGTTGCGTGTACCTTAAAGAATATACTTCAAGTCGTTTTGTTTGAGTACAGGGACACTGTAACTGAGATGTTGCCTGCTAAAGAATTCTTCCTTGCATTTGTACATATTGTAAAATAATTTCCTCTTGACACAACTTGATGTCTGGTTTTTCCATCTGCTCATTATCTCAAATTTCCACCTGATATAAGTTTTCCTGATGGAAACGTGCTCTGGAAATTGTGATTTCAGATTGTTTTGTTTATTTTAAGATTTTCCCTGTTTTTAATATTCTGACTTCAAAAATAGGAACGACCTTCCTGTCCCAGAGACACAGCGAGATATAGGAAGACATCTCCAAAGCCAGGGGAAATCTCTTCTTATACAATGCGGCCAGAATAGTTTTATCCATCGGAAGATTTTTAATTTTTCTCCCCACCCCCTTCTCTAGAGAAAATTTTGGACTTCCTATCACTTTCAAATATGTTTGTATATCTGTCTACCTCTGTATCTATATCTATCTATACCTATATCTCCTATACATATATTAATAATAGAGGCTCAGCATCACATTTGGGTGTTACCTAATGCCTTCTCCCCCAGACTTGCATTCAACCGTTAAGGCATTTGAAAAAAAAAATGTAAAACTTCCCCCACGAGCCATCCCACCGCTTGCATCAGAGCTGGGGGCTCTTGAGAGGAGTACAGAGGCACGGTGCTGTGATGGTTTCAGGAAGCTATGTTCAGCATACTGCTAGTTCTCCCACTAGCCATGATCTATCTGCATTGTATAGAAAAGCACAACGACCCAGTGATGACATCACTTAGAATTAAATGAGGCATGTAATGAAAATGTAAAGGTCTTATTTAAAGGGTTCCTTAATGTGTTTCTTTTGGGGAGAGTAGAAAACAGGGAAGGCATAATATATCTATATATATATAATATATACATACATTAAACGTCAGCTTTTAAGCTGTTTGCCGGGAATTAGTTTTTTTTTAAATGTTCTGTTTTTTTGTCCATTCATAATATTGGCATTGCAATCTGAATTTTAACAAGGCCGTGTCTATGTCTAGCCCACATTTGTTCTGGGAGTTGTAAAAGAATAAAGCTTAAACTGCAGAAAATAATGACACTGGCTGACCTTGATTCAGATCTGTGCTTTGAACCGCTCCTCTCCAGTATCCGGTATTAATATCTTTCTCTGGTTACATGTAGTCATGGGGGAGTAATAATATGACCTTTTTGTTCTAGGTTGCTCTGCCTGTCTACATGCCTGCCTGTGGCCTTGGCTTATCGTTATCCTGGCATTGGCCGTCTTTTGTTACTGGCGGTACAGAAAACAACCCAAAGAAGAGAAAGCGGCAAACAAGTAAGTTCATTCCTACTCGTGTTTGTTAGCTATACATGGAACGTTTGATCTGAGGCATTCCAGGCCATTGTTATTCTTGTGATAGTTGCAGTCGCACTGAATCAAGTCAAGATGGGTGATGGTTGTAGCAGATTAATTTTAAGGTGGCTCCTGGGCTTTGATCGTGGTTGCCCACAAGGAAAAGGCTGGCCTCCATGGCGGAGGGCCTTTGTAGCTCTGCATAGCCATGCGAGTGGTATTAAAGATAGTGACACGAGCCGAAAAATTAACTTTACTTACAAAGGTGCATAAAATACAGTTATGAGGACTGTTGCCCCTTCACTATGAACTTGTTCTGGCTTCTTCCTAAGGACAGGTCATCCATACAGAACCCTATCACTTTGCACTCTCTTAACCCCTTCATGACTGAGCATGTTTTCAGTTTCTATTCGTTAATGACTGACGCACTTTTTCCATTGCAGCTGTGTGATTTCTTCCACGTCAGTAATATACTTTCTTACAAAGTGCACCCTCACCTATTATATATATTGTTTTTTAGAGGACAGATAGGGCTACATATTTATATCCCAAATGTGTACCTAATGCCTCACTTAGGACAAATGTACTTGTCCGCCTAAAACTAAAACCTAAAATTTTTAATTTATTATTTTTTTTCTCTAAAAGCTGAAGCTAAATGCGGTCACCAGGCATACAATGTGACTAAGTGTCACACTTAGTGACAGCGACATACTTTGAACATCACTGCCATGAGGGAGTTAAATTAAAAAAAATGGACCCCTTTGGGTGAAAAACAAATTTTCAGCTCAGCTGCAGATTTTTATTGTAATGTGTTAGTTTTTATATTAATGATAGTATAAAAATATATTTAAATATATCATTTTTATTTTGTTACATTTATTTATTTTTTACACTTTTCACATTTTTAAAACATTTTTTCAAATTTTTATTTTATTTATCTAATTATATCAAGCAGTCATTGTGAATGCATCTCACTATTACTGCTTGATTAATTTAATACATTTTTGGTTATTATTAGGGTGCTTCAAACTCAAGAACAGCCAATAATAACCTTTAGTGACAATGATCCTGCCGCATTTCAGGATCAGATGTCACTAAAGGCTTCTGATCGTTGCCACAACAATCAGAAGCTTGCAACATTGTTTCAGCAATAGAAACATGTAGCTAAATGTTTGATTTGCTGAAACTTTAGAGAGAGAAAAGCCGGTATACATCACGATTTCCCGATCTATAACGGCTGTCAGTGACGGCAAGAGCTGTAAATACCGCTCTGCTCTCACTGTCAGACACCCGATTCCTAAAAGGGATCGGGTGTCTAAAAAAACTTAACTCTTTCATTAATGGATGCCTCAATACCAGCCTCACCAATGCGCCTGTGAGTGAGATGCCCCTCTCGCACCACTGTGCACCCCCACCCCATGTCTGTATGACCTCTCCCCAATAGTTCTACTTTAACTAGCAAAAGTGTTTTTGTTAAACGGACTCCATATAGAAAGGCAGTGTTGCGTGTGTGTCTCTCTCTTTAACCTTAAATAAAGACACTAGAGTGAAGAATTTGTATGTAAAATGTCTTTATTTTGGCTGTGGTAGCCCTATAGGGTTTAAGCAACAAAACAATATCAAGATAATGCTATTAATAAACCAACAGTACATATGGACTTCGCCATAAAGGCTCAGGTCCTCACCATAACAAACTAGAATAAAGTACATAAGCCGTAAATAACGAAGGCCCCATGCACACTTGCCAATGGGACTGATTAGGTAAGTTTCACAAATTGCCCTGTGAGACTCATGGGCACAGCGGCATATGCCTGGCATGTAAGCTGCAGCTACGCTACAGTGGGGATGTTCTCTGACCCCTAACCCTCCTGTAGAGTTTTTTTTTCAGCCCAGCCATGGTGGGAATTGCAGCGATAAGCTGCTCATGGCATTAAGACAACGATACCATGCTTGCCCAGGTTATTACTGTCATATTATCAAAGTATTGTGATGACGTCATGAAATATGATGACGACAACCCACGTATACATGGCGGCGACATGCCCCACATGTACAGGTTATCTCTGCCATATTGCAGACTTCTTTTGCTATCGTGCATGCATGTAGATGTTTCAGCCACAGTCTTCCACTGCGCTCTATAATGCCGTCTTCTTTTGCTCTTGGGCATGCGCCTCCGTAAGAACCCAAGTTTCTTCTGCCACCATATTGCTGTCTCTTTTTCTGCTGATCACCCTACGCTGTATTTCCTGCACCACAGGCCACCCCGTGGCGCCATTAGTGCGGAACCTGATAGCCACTGTGTAGAAGTCCAAGTGTAATATTTCAACTTCGTTAATCTTAATTTCAAAGCTACATATTCCATTCACATGTTAATCAAATTTTGAGCTACACCCACCTCGACTAATTTTACATTTTCAATTTATTATTTAACAACACACCTCTATTTGAACCTGAAACTAAGGGGGAAACTTCAATACCATTTATTTCCTGTATTGATCCTGTAGATGCCTGTTTCTCAAGCCGAACAAAAGAAATTCTTGTTCGGCTTGAGAAACGCATAGCGTTTCTTGTTCGGCCTCGAAACGCGTAGCTAGCCATTGGATAGCAGCCCTCCAGCCCCTCACTGACAGTGGGTCACACTGTCATCCCACTGCATTTTTCATTGACAGATAGACACAGCGAGCCGCGGCGCAAGAGACAGCGCTGCAGCGGCATCCCCCGCCGCTCTCCCACTGATACGAGCAGGCTCAGCCTCGCCAGCTGAGTTCTGCCGACTCACCCTAAGTTACATCCCCAAGCTACCGCTTACCACAGACTGGTTCTTCTGTATAACATGGTCTTCTGACCCACAAAACCCACCCTCCCGGCAGAACAATGCCACCCTCTGGTCGAATACTAAACTTCTAACAGTGAGTCATTTTAATTTTCTCCTCTATGCCTACATGTGAGAGTTAGCCACTATAATTATCTAATGCTGTGACCAGACTTATTCAACAGGGCAGTATCGCTTCTTCTTCCTGTTTTTTTTCTCTTGCACACGGGGTTCCTCTCCCCATTATGGAAGCTGCACCCCCTCCCCTCTTCTGAGTTAGTCTTTTAATATATTCCCAATCTCCACCAGAGTAGTGCGCTTACTACTGTTTGTTTTATGAATTGGAAGATTTTCCCCTCTATTCCTGATCTGGTGACAACTCCAAACTTTGGATTCACACTCACTTTCATACTCCGAGACATTGGTGATCAGGACAGATAGAAGGAGCAATTCAGGTAGCCACCAATGCTCAGATGTCAACCTTTATTGTAGATAACCGTAGATCATCATCCTTCAGCCTCTGACATCATTCTTGTGTAAATTCTAATTTGCAAAAGTTGTAAGTAGTTCCAAGATGTGGAGAAACCATGTTTCCTTTGATTTTGACTATCGTTGAATGATTTAAGAGCTGTACATCTCATCTTGCGGTGGACATGTTACCTCACATTTTATATCCCAGGGTGGAAAATAATCTGCATCTGGAAAGTTAGGAAGTCTTCATGTTCAGACTTCAAGCCTAATGGACCAAGCTTCAATCAAGCATACAGCGTCCCAGGACAGAACGCTAATGACTGTGCGCATTGTGGAGTTTAGCTGCTCTAAATATGAGCTCTCGGCTTGAGCGGTCATGTTACATCAAGTTCCATATCCCACGGTGAAAAATTATGAATCTGGAGAACTGGAAACTCTTCATCTTTTGGACGATATCACACTTTTAAAAATGATTTTATATGATTAGCCTTGTCGTGGTCAACCCAGGACGAGACTGAGTTATTTTATGAATAGGTGAATTTATTGACCATACAGCAATATTGTCAATATTGGAGAGATACAAGAGTACTCTCCTAAATTGCTCTTGCACTTACAATTTTATAGTTTAATAGAATACAAGGGGCGTTGACCGTCCCCAGGCAACATGAAGGTATATGCGACTTGTTTGCAGTTTTTAGATTAGGGAATTAATAATAAGTACATGATTTATGTGCCATAATTATCTGGACACTAGGAATTCTTAATGAAGGTGAAATGGTAAAACAGGAAAAGTGACCCAAAACTAGAGCAGCATTGCCTTGGGCAAAGTACTCAATGAACAGGTGCAAATAAGAGACAAGAATGATAACACGTATTCAACACTCCCACCATACCCTAAGGCACATGTGTCAAACCCAAGGCCTAGGGGCCGAATCCGGCCCACAAGGCCATTTCCTAGACTTCTACTTTCAGATCTAGGTATTAAGTTATTCCTAAAACCAGTGATAATCGAATGCAGAGGCAATTATGATAAAGAGATACATTTATATAGCATTACAGGCCCTTTGAAGGCAACCATAATGTTGATGCGATTAAATTGAGTTTGACACCCCTGCTCTAAAGCCTTCTCTTCACTCAAAGCCCATTCTCAAGGACACCTTACTGGAATTTAGAAAGTTTGGTCTTCCATTGGAATAGTTCAAAAGTTCATGCAGGTAGAAGGTGGTGAATCTTGAAGCCAAGTTAATGCAGGCATAGGATGATAAAATACAAAACAACATGGAGTAAAGTAAGATGGATTAAAGCAATCTTGCACCCACAGCCTAATGAATCAAGCTTAAAGTGACACTAAATTTAGGCGTTAAGTCTTAAAAATGCATTCAAGTACCTTAACTTTTGTATCACTCGATTGTAGATCCTCAAATCATCTCTGAATTGGTGCTGGCACTGTCCTTCCTTCTGGAGGGGGGCTACTTTTGTTCCCCATGGTCCCTGTGTGTGTTGTACAGTAGGCACCACTCCAAGCTCGCTCCCGTGATGGACTACAATCTCATGTTTTAGTTTACTGATTTGTATTGAGATTGTAGTCCATCCTGGGAGTGAGCTTGGAGCGGTGGCTACTTTACTTTTGTTCCCCATGGTCCTTGTGTGTGTTGTAGCCACCCTTCAGAAGGAAGGACAGTGTCAGCACCAATTCAGA